AAAGGTATATACTGCGAAACATAGTTATTAGTACTTTTACTTTGAAAAGAATAGCTATATAATGGCATGCGTCTTGTGATGTAGATCTCTATTATTACTCAAATTTTTGACACTTAGCTCAAGTCTCAATTGCCTTTAATTTAAAAAAAATTCAAGCGTTTATTACGTGAAATAAATTGCAAAAATTTATCGCAATAAAATTATAAATTGAAATGTTTGAATAAAATTGAATAATATAATTATGATATGTAGAGGACATGTAATTTCAATCTTCTCATTACATAAACAGTTTCTTCTTACAACGCCGTGAGAAAAAATATTTATAAATAGATTTGAAAACCTATATTTTAGTACAATTCCCTTTTTCTGAACTACCATGAAAAATTCTAATTTAAATAATATCATACCAAATCAATGACGTAACAGAGAATGTTAGAGCATTCCAGCAAAGTCAGGTTTTGGGCCCCAAACCACATCTTACAAAGAATTGCGTAGTTAAAATCGGGCAGGCTTTGGGCCACATGGAATCCTCTCGATAGATGTTAATATAACTCTCTCTCTCTCTATCTATCTTGAGAGAGAGAGTTATATTGACGTCTCCATATAAAGCTGCATGAGGGCTATTGCTGACGGACCTCGTAATTTTGAACTACGGTAATATTACGAGGATGACACCTGTGCTTGTACCCTCTCTCCAAACTTCCTCACCAACGGGAAGACACTTGAACTTCGACAAATTTATCATGCAACGAACCTCTTCTATACCATGAGTCTTCAGTGGCACTAGGCTTGAAATTATGACACGCCAGCCACGAGTCTGCGACCTTGACCAATAGGCTACCGTGACCACATGCTTCTCTTGAAGAGATCTGTCTAATAGAATGCCTTGTATACTAAGCGGCTCAAGAATAAAACTCCAATAATTCTGAATTTAATAATTTCCTTAACTCAGCGTTTTTCAAACTGTGAGGCGTGCCCCCCAAGGGGGCGTGATAACTCTACGAGGGGGGCACGAACATAATGAAAAGTTGAAAACAAAAGATTATTTTAAAAACTTGTTATAATTTACTGAAGGTAAACAAACAAAATACATTCTAACATAATAAAAAATAAAATACACGTTTAGACTGATATAATACACTTATAAATGTATCAGTACTGCACAATTAATTTTACAAGTAATTCAACAATACTATGTTAAGAATAATATTACTAATTATCAATGACCCCATGGGCTTGTCATATATAAAATTATATACAAAAATTAGCAATTGTTTTGACTCGTATGTGATATATTGGAGAGGGGGGAGGGAGAAAAGGAATAAATAAGAGCAAATCCTTCGCAAGCACTGTCGAGGGCGTTTTATTGCATTACAAGGTCTTCGGAATAATTTTATGGATAGCACAGCACAGAAAAGATCGTACTTTGAAAAGACGTATATATACGTACGGAGCAATTGACGCTTTGGATGAGTGTGACGTTCATTGACATCGGTGGTATTTTAGAGGTTAAAGTTGTATTGTAGTTTTAGAGTCAATGTGTAGTACTATTGAATTAAAAACAATGTTATTGTATGGAGAAGGAGGGTGCAAAGAGAAAATTATGATTGAATATTGAAATATTGAATACCAGCTGGTGTACCCGTTCTTTGCACGGGTGAACTGAAAAATTAAATAACACAGATTGAAGGTTAAAGAAGTTTTTAACGAGTTAATTTTACGTGAATTGCAAATTAAATAAAAAAAAAGCTTTTGCATTTCTCAGCTAATCAAAAAAAGAAAGAAAAAACATCTTTGTTAAATTTTAAGTATGTAGATCTAATATCTGATAAAAAGGATTTTTTTTTATTTATAACTCACCGTAACACTCTTGAGGGTCGATTTTCAAAAATACCTCCCTAAGCTGAACTCTGCTCAGCAAAAGTAACACATGGTTAAAAGTTTTGTGTAATGAACGCTTAAAATAGTGTAAATAATTTTTATCTGAAAGTGTAATACATTAATATTGCTTTCTGTTGTATTTATTGTATGTTAAAATTGTAATATTCGCAAGCAACGCCGTTTCTTAAATTATAATGGCGATTCAATGAAAAACATAGCGAAATGTTAACGATAGAGTCAAGTAGGCAAATGTCTGGCTAATTTCATAGCTCGAGCTTTATTAGAGCTCTGTAAGACCCGCCGTGTAGGGGCGCGATGCACGTTAATACTTTATTCAACCGCATTATGATTTACTGCAGTTTTTTTCATGCAATACATTTTTTGGATCACTACATTGAAAATTAAGGGATATACATACACAAAATACTCCACTTTGGGAAATTTAATCCGTTAGAGCTAATAAATTAATTAAAGATATTCCACTGTAAAATTAATTATATACACCGTTCACTTAAAATAAATATTCAAATCGTTTTTTAAGGTCTTCATTAACATGCAAAAGCATAAGACACTTAAATTTTGACATAATGTATTTTTTCGGGACAAAAATAATAATCTTTGCAATCCGCTGAAAACGCAATATGGGCTACAAAACTTTTCGCCTTCCCCGCTAAAATACTCCTCATAGAACCCATACTGCCATATATTTTGGAAGAATGGATTTCAAAGAATATTCCTGCTAAGTATTGATAGAATATTCCTTCTAAGTTGGTGTGGTGTGGTAGTTAGGAGAAGGGGGTGCCAGCTCAGATGTCTTCTACATCACTTGACAATGGTTCAAAATTACGTGATCCGTTGCCAAAAGTCCTCGTGTAGCTGAACAGTGCGACGTTAATATTCACTCACTCCAAAAAATACAGTACAGTAGTTATAATTATTTTAATACTTAAAAATGCAATATCTGCCTATTCAATTAAAAAATTATAGCTTTATAATTAACTACTAACCACAAACAAATTTTGAAAATTTGTCCAAATGATGTAGTGTGAAAGAGAAAGTTTATTTACTTTAAGTACCAGAACCGATAAAAGCTTTTATTTTGAAAAAAGTTCAATTTCTTACAACCAAATATGAATAATAAAATCATTATCAAAAACAATCAAATAAAGAAAGATTTATAACAACCTCTCCCTTCAAAACTTAGTTTTATTCTGAAATTAAAAATATTAGGGATTATGCTGATCACAGGAATTAATTAGAAGCGAGCGCCTTGCGTAGCAAAACAAAAAGGGTTTCTTCACAAACAAAAGATGGATATATGCTGTCGTGGGCTTTTTTGCAGCGCACGCCAGAATTGCTTGCAGATGGCAGAATTTATTTCTACTTACTTGACGAACATCGTTATATTTTGGACACTTCACACAATATCTTTATAAATTATAGCCTATGTGTTATTCTGATGTATAAGCTATATTACTGTAAAATTTCATTAACATTCTATCATTCAGTTGTTTTTGCGTGAAAGACAAAAAAATAAGAAAAAAAATAAGAAATATTCAATCAAATAGAAAGATACCTCTCATCTTACAAAATAAGAACTGTGAAAATTCTATAATCTAGACAAGTTTATGACTAGACTAATGAATAGTTTATATGAAGTTAGAGACAAGTCATGAGGCAATTTTAAATTTTGAGGAAATTTTGAGCAATACACACATTTTATTCTTAAAAAAATTAAAATATTAATTATTTTAAATTGATAATGATTAAAAAGATTAATTATTCAAGTGTTGTGCTTGTGTGTGTTGTGTGCCGTATAGCCCTAACTATTTTTTTTAATTTAACATTATATTCAATTCCATATGAAGAGCTCATTGTCATTGTGTATACTTCAATGCAATTGAAAAATGTTTTAACAAATAATATAAAAAAAATTAAGTCAATTTCTACTTAGGTCAACAAAGAATTTTTTTTTATTTTAGTTATTTTTTATTCAATAGTTACAATTGATATAAATATGTATATATAGGGTCTTTTTTTAGAGGTATAGAACTTTAAATTGCAATAAAACAACGATGTATCATTCGATTGACATGAATTTTTTTTTTATTCAAAAACAATATTGTGGCATTATATTTTAAATATGATATCTGGCATATGACTGCCACGGCTGGCTCGGATGTAGTCAATCTGGACGTCCAAATTTCGATGACTTTTTCCAACATTTGTGCCGTATATCGGCAATAACACGGCGAATGTTGTCTTCCAAGTGGTCAAGCGTTTGTGGCTTATCCGCATAGACCAATGACTTTGCATAGCTCCACAGAAAATAGCCTAGCGGTGTTAAATCACAAGATCTTGAAAGCCAATTCACAGGTCCAAAACGTGAAATTAGGCGGTCACCAAACGTGTCTTTCAATAAATCGATTGTGGCACGAGCTGTGTGACATGTTGCGCCGTCTTGTTGGAACCACAGCTCCTGGACATCATGATTGTTCAATTCAGGAATGAAAAAGTTAGTAATCATGGCTCTATACCGATCACCATTGACTGTAACGTTGTGGTCTTCATCGTTTTTGAAGAAGTACGGACCAATGATTCCACCAGCCCATAAAGCGCACCAAACAGTCAGTTTTTCTGGATGTAATGGTGTTTCGACATACACTTGTGGATTATCTTCACTCCAAATGCGGCAGTTTTGTTTGTTGACGTAGCCATTCAACCAGAAGTGCACTTCATCGCTCAGCAAAATTCGCTTATAAAAATCGGGAACAACGGCAATCTCGTTTTGGGCCCATTGGACGAATCTACGCCTTGCTTGATCATATTTAAAATGTAATGCCACAAGATTATCTTTCGAATAAAAAAAAATTCATGTGAATCGAACAATACATTGTTGTTTTATTGCAATTTAAAGTTCTATACCTCTAAAAAAAACACCCTATAAGTATTACAGACTCACAATATTAAGAGACAAAATAGAAAGCAATTTTCCATTTCCCTTTCAATATATGGTGTTGGGTTATTTTTTTTTGTTTGTTACCATTTATTCATTAATTAAATTTAATTATTCTAATAAAATAGCATAGAAAAAAATAAATCATTCTCAGAAAATAGGCCATCCCAGGTGGGACTCGAGCCCACGACCTTTGGAATAGAGGTCCAAAGCGCTATTCATTACGCTACAAGGAAACAACGAAAAATTTTTCTTTCTCTACATGCTGTTGGACTATTATTTTTGTTTGCTACTATTTATTCATTTCTAATTTAATTAATGACTTAATGTTTGAAAGAACTATATTAACATCAGGTGTCATCCACTACAAGGTTAAAAAAATGTATTTGAACTTGAATGGATGAATAGAATGTATTTTATAAACGACTGAAAATTTGAACTAGACATATATATATATATATATATATATATATATATATATATATATATATATATATATATATATATATATATATATATATATATATATATATATATATGTCAGGTTTGAAAAGTTTAGGTTCAAAATTAAGGAAGTAATAAATGAAAATAGAGCGAACTCTTTACCATCGCGTAAGGATTTATGAGTAAACAAGCCTGTTAAAAGGAGCAACGAGCGCTGACGAAGGCGAACGCATACTAAGAAAGGACTTGGCTGGTGTCTCCTCGCAGCGATGTTGTATTTGGTAACACCCGGTTGCGCGGCAAAAGGTCCGCCATGTTAGATTATATATGATGAAAGCGTAATAAAGGAATATTGTGAAGATGATGCCCTCCTTATTTTACCAGCAGGCCTGGGGCTTGTCAAGAGTCGACAGAATGAATTAACGAACCGAAAATATGCGAGGAAACCAAACGAATTAACTTCAACAATTTTTTTTTTCGAACGAACGACTGCATTGAAAACGATACTACCATGGAAGACGACTCTTTCCGGCAGGAGTCACCAGTCAACACATCCAAAGAGAATCAATCCTTCTTTTTTCCTGAATTTGATCTTAATAAGTTTAGTAGTTTGCAAAGCTTTTTTAACTGTTTTGATCAACAATGTTTGGAATATCAAAAAGACGAACAATGGAAGAAGCAAAATATTCCTAGATATCTCACGGGAGTTTATCTTAAATTTTGGTACGAAAACCATTTATTTGAAAAGTCGTACCAAACAAGTAAAGAATTATTAATGACGGTGTTCGATGCGACGAAACAAGAGGATATTCGAAAATTTCACAAATTAAAACTAAACGACACTAAAGAATTAATTTCGTTTTTTACGGAAAAACTTTCGTTGGGGAAGAAACTAAATTATGATGACAGTTCAATTGTGGAACATATGACATTATCGAGTCCCACGCACTATCAAAAGTTCCTAGTTATCAAGAAGATTTCGACACCCTGCGAATGGATCTCAACCATGCGACAATTAATCGCAGTAACACCGGACAGCGCAGACCGAAAACCGGTAGATACTGGAAGTTATACCCGATGGAATCACGCATACGGTAGTGTACACAGAGGAACTGATCCACAGAACAGATTCCAGTCAAGAGGAAATCATGGACAGCCACATCAATCGCACATGATGAGATTCAGTGGGAGACAACAGAATCGACATAATCTTTACTCGCCCAGAAACGAAAGTAACCAGAGGCAAGGATGACAACTAATTATTGAGTCAATGGTATGTTCCAAGCACTTTTGTACTCTAATTGACACAGGAAGCAATGTGTCATTAATTCCAATAAATTTAGCTAAACAATTAAAAAACATTAAAATTATACAAAATAGTAATGTAAAAATAAATCAAACTTGTGGGACTATTCAACCCAAAGGTATAATTAAAGTTTATATGAATATTGGATGTATATCTAAGCAAATAGATTTGTTTGTAATTGATACTGAATTGCCTTATATTATTTTAGGACTTGAATATTTACATTTATTTAAGCTTGACATTAGTATTCGTAACATGTGTATTTTCAATGTGGTAAAAATTTAAGTAATATTAAATGTGTAAATAAGTGTGTTGGTGAGTTGAGAACATATCATGGGACATATTGTAAAACTCTTAATAATGATCAAAATATGAACTACTATAATGCAAATAATGAAGATAATATTAACGTTAAGAATAATAAAAGGTTTGGATCAAATATCAGACAGCCCTGAAGCTGATCTGAAAAGATTGTTTAACCCAGCCATGGTTGTTGAGGACACAGTACCAAAACAAACTAGTGAGCCATGGGAAGATTTAACCCAACTTATTGACAAATTTCAAACCATATTTTCACAAAATAAGTATGATGTAGGTTGTATCAATTTAGAGCCACAAAAATTCATTTAATTTCAGACCTTCCTATAAGTTTACGCCCTTATAGAAACAGTCAACAAGAATCTAAAGAAATACAAACACAAATAGAAGAATTGTTAAAAGCAGGTTTTATTAGACCCTCCCATAGCCCATATGCTGCCCCTGTAACTTTAGCATACAAAAAAGGATGAAGGGAAAAGATCAAGATTATGTATTGATTATAGAAAACTAAATGAAATCACACGAAAAGATTCCACCCCTGTACCTCTGATAGACTTTGTAATTGATAATTTAACTCATGCTAAATTTTTCTCTACGCTCGACTTAACAAGTGGTTATTGGCACATTAAAATTCATGAAAAAGACGCAGAGAAGCTGGCTTTCACAACTAATTTTGGACTCTATGAATGGTTAAGACTTCCATTTGGCTGGAAAAATTCCCCAGCTGTTTTCCAAAGAACTATAAGACAAATTTTACAAAAATATCAGTTAACTTTTGCTTTAAACTATTTTGATGATATAATAATTTTCTCACAATCTTGGGAAGAGCATTTAACTCATTTAGATACAATATTTCAAATTTGTAAAAAGAAAACATTAAACTTAAAAAATCAAAATGTCAGTTTGCACAGGAAAAAATAAAATTTTTAGGATATGAAATAACACAAGGTCATTATTCCCCAAGTAATCCAAATATTGAAACAATAAGAAAATTAGCACCACCTAAAGATGTGAAAGAACTCCAAAGATTCCTTGGTTCCATCAATGTTTATCAAAAATTTATTAAAGATTATGCAAAACTTAGAGTACCATTAAATAAGTTACTTAAAAAGATGCAATTTGGAATTGGTCACATGAATGTCAAGAAGCTTATCAAAAGTTAAAAGAATTGTTTAATATCAAACCTATACTTAAATTATACAACTCACAATTTCCATGTCATGTGTTTTGTGACGCAAGTCAGGAATCAATAGGTGTAGTCTTGAAACAACAACACCCAGATGGAACACTTTACCCCATAGCTTATCACTCGAGACAATTACTTAAACATGAAAAAAAATTATACAATTTCAGAAAAAAGTGTTTAGCAATTATAGATGCCTTAGATAAATTCCACTGTTACCTACATGGATCCAAATTCACGATACATACTGATCATGCTGCTTTACAATGGCTTAAAAGTGTAAAACATTTAACTGGACGTTTATTTCGGTGGAGTTTAAAACTTTCTCAGTATGAATATTCGATAGTTTATATAAAGGTAAATTAAATGTTGAAGCAGACATGTTGTCGAGGAACCCTGTATGCCATTATATATCACCCATTTGTCATTTTTTAAATACTGATGAAATTATTAAATACCAAAATTCAGAGAACATTAATGATCAAAATATATAAAAATTAATGATGTATTAACAGTTAAGAAAAAGAATTTAATTAAAATTGTAGTACCGTTATCTTTGAGAGAAAAATTAATTACAACTGCACATGAACAATTTGGTCACCCAGGTGTAAAAAAGATGTTAAAATTAATTTCCCCAATTTACTACTGGAAAGACATTATATTAGACATTTCAAATTTTGTTAAATGTTGTGAAACATGTCAAATGAATAAAAGTCTACACAAAAAAGTATGGATTATTGCAAAAGTTCCTGTAGCAGAAGAACCATTTGAAATGATTTCACTAGACACTGTAGGAGGATTTGAGTATCATAATTCACAAAAGAAATACCTGCATATTGTTCTGGATCATGCTACCAGATATGCTTGGACATTTCCATCAAAAAGTGTCACTTCTGAAACTTATACAAATTGCTTAAAACAAATTTTTCAATTCAATGCCCAAAACAACTTTTAAGTGATAAATGCTGCATTCACTTCATCTAAATTTAAGAAATTCTTAAAACATCATAATATTAGACAATTACTAACTTCAGCAAATAGACCACAATGCAATGGAAAGAATGAAAAGAGTTAATCAGACATTAGTAGCAAAAATTAAGATGTAAAGTCAATTCAACTACAAAAACTCCTTGGACAAAATTATTAGAACAAGTTACATATGAATACAATAACTCGCCACATGATGTTACTGTAATTTCAATAAACCTCAACAAAAGCTGTTTTAGCAACACAAATGATAACCAACACGTTGCTATTTTCCTAAGAGATTTAAACTTCTTCATTCATGCATAAATTAAAATATTTGGATGCACACTTTACTTGTTACTGTGAATTTTCATGGAAAAACTACATAGGAATTAGCATCGGTTAACCACATTGCATTGTCCTGTTATTATATTGCAACTCTTATCGAAATAGACAATTTGCATCTTCAATTAGATGAAGAAAGAGTATTATGCAACGTCATACAAACATCGGTTTTAAAAACCATTTTTGTAAGACATACCATTTACACCCACAAACCACATTGCAATAGATAGAGTTTCATAATTATCTTTTTATTAAAAATAATAACAATAATTCATCAACATCCTGCACTGCACAAATTTCCTTTAAAAATCTGAATGCATGGTAATCTTATAAAAGAATTTAAAAAAACATGAGTAAGAGCCCTTTTATAATTATGGGAATTATAATTTGTAATTTTATCTCTTTAGGGATATAACTAATTTTAATAAATGCGTAATTCTAAAGGAGTTGTGAATGTTATCGAAACTATTCAAATGTCTACAGCACTCGCTGTACATAATTTTGCACAAACGTCTGATCAAGACACCATACTTTAATTATTATTTCTAAAATTGCAACCGGCACTTCAGCTGACAATTAAAAATTTTCGTCTTATAAATTTTAGCATAAATAAAAATAATGCCATTTTACGAAGTGCTTAATACATATATTTTTTAGTTTAATTTATGTCCCAC